TTTGAAAGACAGTTTGGCTAAACCCATCTAGCCACCATTCAGGCCATTAAAAAGGGATGTCAACAAAAAGACATCCTACAGTATGGGAGAATTTATTCATAATGACATATCCGATAAGGAGTTGACATCCAAATTATATAAAGGGCTCACACACCTCAACAAACAAAAAGCAAATAAGCCAATTAAAAAATGGGCACAGGAGCTGAACAGACACTTCTCCAAAGAAGAAATTCAGATAGCCAACAGGCACATGAAAAGATGCTCCACATCACTAATCATCAGAGAAATGCAAATTAAAACCACAATGAGATATCACCTCACACCAGTTAGGATGGCCAACATCCAAAAGACAAACAACAACAAATGTTGATAAGGATGTGGAGAAAGGGGAACCCTCCTACACTGTTGGTTGGAAGGTAAATTAGTTCAACCATTGTGGAAAGCAGTATGGAGGTTCCTCAAAAATCTAAAATAGAAATACCATTTGACCCAGGAATTCCACTTCTAGCAATTTACCGTAAGAACACAGGAGCCCAGTCTCAAAAAGACATATGCACCCCTATGTTTATCGTAGCACTATTCACAATAGCCAAGAAATGGAAGCAACCCAAGTGTCCATCAGTAGATAAACAGATAAAGAAGATGTGGTGCATATACACAATGGAGTATTATTCAGCCATAAGAAGAAAACAAACCCTGCCATTTGCAACAACATGGATGGAGCTAGAGGGTCTTATGCTCTGTGAAATAAGCCAGGCGGAGAAAGACAAGTATCAAATTATTTCACTCATCTGTGGAATATAAGAACAAAGAAAAAACTGAATGAACAAAACAGCAGCAGACTCACAGAACCCAAGAATAGACTAACAGTTACCAAAGGGAAAGGGACTGGGGGGTGGGAGGGGGAAGGGAGGAATAAGGGGAAAAAGGGGAGTTATGATTAGCACACATAATGTAGTGGGGATGGGGGGGACACTGGAAAGGCAGCATATACAGAGAAGACAAGTAATGATTCTATAGCATCTTACTACGCTGATGGACAGTGACTATAATGGAGTATATGGGGGGGATTTGATAATGGGGGGAGTCTAGTAACCATAATGTTGTTCAAGTAATTATACATTAATGATACCAAAATCAAAAAAAATAAAAAATAAAAAAGGGATGTCAAACATGACTGACTTCAAAGACTTGTGATGACAGATTCAATTTCAGTCCAGAAGGAATTTGGTGTTCTGAGCAGAAATTTTGTGTCCATGAGCGGAGGTATACCTAGCATATTTGACAGAGCAGACCATTAGTAATACTCCTTTCTCCAACTCTTTGAACTGTTTTGTAAAACCTTCATCTGTAAATTTACTTTAAAACTGTTATGTAAAACTTTTACCTGTAAATTTACTTCAGAGTACAAAAATGCCCCTTTGCCTAAGTACATTCTCTCATTAGATGTTAACATTTTTAGACCAGAAATTATATCTTATTTATCATCATATTCCTGTTACAGATTACACATTAAATACTGAAAAAATAATTTAAATAATGCTAAATAGAATGGAATTAAGTATTCAACTTTGTATTATCTTCTTGATTCCTACAAAGACATTCCATGTAATTCCTACTGCAATATTAGAAGTAGCTAGCTAAAATAATATAAATCTGTACTATTTCCACTTAGATTGTATACAAATTTTACAAATATTTGTTTAATCCTAAAATCTGGCTCATTTATATCCCTTTCCTGAAATATCATGCATACTCTAATATGCTTGTCTCTTCATTAAAAATGCATTTTAGTCAACATGATTATGATTCTCAGGTCAGTTCTGGGTGTACTTGTACTTGACAATTTACTTGTACAAATTGATTGTTAATCGTATTAGTGGTTATCCAGCTTTTCAGCATCCAGGGTATGGTCACTCCATTCATGGGGTAAGCATAAGTAACATCAACTCCACATTGTCAGCATAACCCGAGTAGCAACATACAACACAAGTCATCATCACACAGGCATAAGGCGTGGGCCACATAACCTCTCCCAAAACAAAGAACAGTATAATGTAAAATTGAGCTGACATGAGCAGTCCATTAACCCTATCACCTCTCTCTCTGCTATGCATCATGGAAAGATTCAGTGAAGAATCTGGAGCTCTGGAGCACCCAATATAGAAAGCCAATAGGATGCAATGAACACCCTGCATTTTTTTAAACAGCTTACCCTCCAGGGGAAAATTTTCCACAAGGGTAGTTAAATTCAGTATGGAATTCTAGCAACCATGATTTTAATTGCACACCAACTGAAAAATATTTCCCTCATTGTCTAAATAAAAAGAAGCCTATAATATATGCTGTCTGCTTGTTTCAGGACTCAGTTATTAACCTTTAAGATCTTTTGTAAGATAAAAGCCTCTTTCTCCAGCAAGCACATTTTGAGAATGGGATTTAAGCTAAAATCCTAACATCTGTCTTAGACATGTTGAAACTTCAATCCCTGTCATAAAAGCACCCTGAACAATATTTCAGACATAAGAATTTCAGGGCCTGTTTTTTTTTTTTTTGGTTGGCAGCTAAAAAACAACTTTTAGAAGTCACAAAAATGAATAGCTACCTTCTTATCTGACATACAATCACACACACGTAAAAAAAAAGCATAATATGCAATCTGATTATTCAACACTCATCACAAACGCAAGCAAAGACTGGGTTGCTGTTTCCATAGCAATGACTTTCCGTGGTTTAACTCTTCTGGGAATTTAACCAAATCCCCAGCAGCAGGAGAAAATCATCAGCAAAAATTGTGTAACATATGGCAACTGCCAACAAATCAGTGAGAGCAAAATACTTGTATTTTCTCTTCCTTTCTATGAAGAGGACTACCTTCATGTCACGCTGTTTGAATAAGCATACGGAGTTTGTTGGTCCCTGTGCACATAACTCAAAATTTAAAAATACCATGTTTCTTCCCTGTTAGATTAAAAGAGCTGTTGGTACCCAGCCAGGCTCTACAGCCCATTCATTTCCAGAGTGACATTTAGACATGGGCAAGAACTACAGGCACCTTCCCTTGACTCTCAGGTTATTCGTGCTGGAGAAAACTCAGTCTTCAGGGTTATCTCTTGGGAAAGAATGCAAATGGAATTTTATTCTCTACTTTCCCTTTGAAAACATCCTCACCTTGGAGTTCTATGTGTGTGTGTGTCTGTATGTAGGTGTACATGGCTGTGCATGAATGAAACCTTTTACTTCTACTTATGACCCAATGATTAAAATAAGGGTTTGTAATGGGAAAAGAATAGATGTGATACTTTTCATTATTTTCTTTAGTTCCACCAGTCCTATATATTGAAGGATCTTTTAAGTATTGAGTGAAAAAGATATTTAGGTCAAGATACTTAAATTCTTTCTTCAATATATCTTCATAAGAACAAAACTTGTGATCAACATGCAATGTACAATTAATACCCAGTGAAAATGGCTGTCTCAGAATAAGTAACCACCTCCGTTTCAAGGAACACATCACTTTCCAAGGAGCCCATTCAATACTGAGCAATTCTCAATGTTAAAAGTCTTTTGCTGAACTTAATACTACCTCCTTATTACTTGCACCTCAAAATTTGTGCCAATTCTGTACTTACAAGGAGATACACATTAAACCCAACACTTCTCCTACATGACGACAGCACCTCACAACTCTGAGGCCAGCTTCCAACCTCGGCCCCTACATTCCTCAATGGTGTTTTTCCCTTTCAGCCCAGCACACCTCATTCACCTCTAGGAGTAGGTTATTTTGCCAATGAATTACTCACTCCACTTTTTTTTAATGTAAAATAGACGATTGGCCTAAATTAGGAGTATCAAATGAAAATACCACCAGAGGGCCAGGCAGGTAACTCAACTGTGTGAGCCATCTTCAGGCAAGGTCACAGGGAGTGGTACAAGAGTGTGACTTGGAGAATGAGTTCCCAGCCTGAGCATTCAAATCAGCATACTTTAAAATACTAAACACACTCACACACCCTAGGTCTTCAGCTGTAATCCTTAGCCTAAATTTCTCTGATACCAAATACTGAATTAATAGGGTGCATCTAAACATAGGAAAACTTAAAGAAAATTCCTGATTAGGGTAGGGGAGAGGGGCACAATCATTTATGCCAACATGCCGTGTAGCTGGTATCTTGGCAATGTAGCCAGTCGACTGTCTCTCATCAGCACACTGAAAACATACAAACCACACTTATCATTCTCTCGTCGTACATCAGGTGAGCTTGTTTCACACCAGAATAAATAAGACACAGACCACCAGAAAAGACACACATGATTGAAAACCAGTAATAAAAAAAATTAGTCTGAATAAAACTCTAATTATCATGGAGTATTCAGAAAGATCACATTATTGAATTCTATACTCCATTAGCTCTTTCCTTTGGTAAGACCTAAATTGTGTTTTCCAAAAGCTTAAGCTGTGCTTTCCTTTGTGTTTAAAAGGTCTAGTGCTGCCCTCCAAAGTGTATGTAAATTGTCTTCCTCTTAACCACACAGGGACCTTAAGGAACCAACCAGCTAAGACCCAGACTTCATTTGTGGTCATAGCTCAGGGAAGGCAGTTGCTCTATAATTATTTGGAACAATGGAGATGATGTTATAAACATCAGTCTATGAAATCCTCATCTAATGACCATAAGCTCCAGAGAATAAGACATGAGACCAAAAAATGAGCCACGCTTTTCCTCAAACTGGTGGATAATTTATGATCACATGTCTCATAGTCATAAGCATTTCATGAGTGACACTTAGACTAAATAATGAATGGCCTTGAAGCTGGAGTATTCCACATGCAAACCCCTCTACAAAAGCACTTCCGGGGCCTTCCCCCACTGGAGTGTTTAGCTACTGAATCACCATTCACGACTTTAAATGTTATTTTTACAAATTAACCTCAGCATTTCACATCCACGCACAAATATTCATCCCCCCATAGAAGAGTAATCAGTTCCTTGGTTTACCTCTGTCCGTCATCTTCGACCCAGCAGACTTGTGTGGGACAGAAAGATGGTCTAGCTTGCTACTTAATGGACAAGTGTCGTCGCTAGAATAAGAGTTCAAGAATCCACTTTCTGAGGCGGCCACGTTGTTTTCCAGGGCCTTGCAACTGTTTGCCTCCGAGGGTGCAGGTGAATGAACCTGCACGGCGAATGTTATAGACTGTCCCTGGTCTTCAGCTGCAGCAGATGAACCGCTAACTATGTCAATCCAGGACTGTCTGTCTTTAGATGAGGAAGACAAACCGCTGGGTATCTTTACTGTATTTTCCAGGGAAGAGAAAGAATGCGATGTTTCTCTTGCTTTGGGTAGAGATGATGATGCCTGCTGTGCAACCTATTTTTCACAAATAAAACCAAACAGGAATAAAATAAATCATGATTAGGCCAGCATTTTCCACTTTCCATTTACAATGAAGGTACCCGGTGTTTCAAAAAGTGGCCAATAGAAAGAGTCTAAAGAAAGATACGTGATACATTTATATCCATATGCCATTTTCCAAAACCAATTACATAACTTTGAATTCACTATTCTAAGGATCTGAAAACTCTCCATATAGTGATTTACACTGCTCTTCAATGCTCTCCATAAACTTAAAAGCCCCTTTGGAGAATTCTTTGGAATACTGACGGATACACTGAGCAAAAAGTAGATTACAACTATCACTGTATTCTCATTGATTGAGCAAAAACTCTTGAAAAAGTGATTAAGAGAAAGAAAGCAAAAGCTAGAGCCAGACAGGAAACAATATTAACTGTGTGGAGACCAGTAAAGTAGGCAAAGTACATATATCTAAATGCTCAAATATCTTTCACATATTCCTTAGCACATGACCCGCATCAGCTCATAACTACATAGTTCAGTGAAATAGTCAACTCATTTGCTCTGATAATTTTAAAACTTCAATGCATTTTCACCAAGGAAGATAAGCATTCACTTGCAGGCTCCTAATTCATTAAAAAGAAACCAAAACTGTGCCACAGACTATGAGCAGTAGGTTCATGATGTAAGATCTGAAAGCATTTCCTCACCTACCATCCAAGGGTGGATGAGAATCCTTGGCAAAATTTTCACCAGTCCATAGAGAAAACATCAGAACAATTGTCCTCTCTTGGAAGAACTTCATTTATTCTGAAATTTTACCATTGTTGCATTTTCATGGTAAAATATGTTTTCCTTTGAAAAATGGTGATGGTAGGTATTAGCTTTTGTTTTTTGGGAGTTTTCTTTTTAATGTCCTACATAGCAAATAAAGATTTGGCAACTATATGTTGGCCCTCTATTTTTTAAATTTTTAGTCAATAAAAATTCAAAAATCTGGATATCAGTGCTCTATGGGTCACTCTATATCTTAATGACAGATAAGCCAGAGAGGCATTTCATGGTTCAGGTTCTCTGTATTATCCTATGGGATTCTCCTTGTCACTTCTAAGCACTCAGAACTCCCAAGTGGTAAGGAGGACAGTGAGAGAGAAGACAACGAGCTAACTAGGATCCTTTTCCATACACCGCAGAATCATTGCAACTTACTCAGAATAGTTGACTTTGCTCCAAACCATGTTCCCAAGAATTTTACAGGTTCTAAGCTCTAAATTCTGATGGAAAAATTCAGTATTTATCCAAAGCATGCTCTGTTTGTGGCAGACTATACATGGGTTGTCAAAGTCATCAATAAATATGCTATTTCATACCATGATATTAAAATATCTAATTAAGATACTAACTCGCCACATACATCTTCTTAATAATAATTGCACAGATATGAACACTTCCCATTTAGGAACGTGTCAGTGACCTGGGGAACCAGATGCCTTAAACCATTCAGGCCATTTAATGACTAAGAGGTCAAAGAGGTAATTCATTAAATAAAATCCTAGCTATCTGGAGGAGGTAATGCACATCCCCAAACTCCAAATAAATGCTAAGGCTTTTTCTAAAAGGAGAAAAAAAAGTGCAAATGTGAAGGAAGTTGCATTTGAACCAGGCTTGAAAGATATTTCGAAGGTAAAATTGGGGTAAAATTGGACTCATTAACAGGATATAAAAATAAATATTAACAAAAATATCCCTTCAGGCTCAGTTCTGACATGTTCCCCTATTGTGAGCTATTTTAGGGAAACCTGGCCTTAGTGGTTCAGCTTCCTTTCCTGAAAAGAGACCAAGCACAAACTTTTCCTGTTGCTCCTGCTGAAACTACTGTAATTTAATTATAGCAAAAGGGCTATTTGAGTAAAAGACTATGCACACAGTTACTATTGTACTTTCCATACCTCAAAACGCTGCTTGAGGGATTAAAGATGTTAAATGAGCAGCAGAAATTCCTATAAAGTGTATTCCTGTTCAATTCAAGCACTGTGCAAATATCTTCAATCTATTTTCTCTATTCTAGCACCATATAACTTGTATAAATTTGATATTTAAAAGGTGAAAAAAGAGTGCACAAAAAAAAAAGAAAAAAGAAAAAGAAAAGGAAAGAAAAATAAAATGAGAAAAAGGTGATGTGTATCAGGCCAGAGGAGGTTTTCATTAAAAGAGAGACTGACAAAATACAAATTAAGTGAACCTGGAGTGTCATTACAGATAACTCAATATGGCAACATGTTTTATAGATACTGTGGTACCAAATCATGGTTCATTATTTCCACCATTCTGTAGCTACCAATAGCTACAAGTCAACTGGAATATTTAACTCAATGCGTTCTATGAACCATCCACGTAATAGACTCACTACAACTTCCCAATGCAAATCAAATGAAGGAATCACCTCTCCACCCCACTCCTGCTTGGCTAACACAAACCCACCCTTTGAGCATCAGTTCAAGGGCCAGCTCCTCCAGGAAGCCTTCCCAGGGGCCCCAGGATGAGGTAGCTTTACCTGGTTTCCCCGGGGGGTTACTTCTATCATACCAGGTGAGATATTTTATTGGTGAATTAATACTGTAGGGCTGATGGACTTGTTCTTTTTTGAGACTTCCTTGAGAACATCTATGCCTGACACATAGTTGGTGATAAATTAATGCTGAAAAAGAGTGGCCCAGAGAACCAGCCATGTGAAGAAAAAAAATAACAGAGTAGTTAATGCCTTATTGAGGGGCATTCTGAAATTCTCTGTAAAGTTGCTATGGATGATTTATCCTATTTCCATGATCTAGGTGTGACTGTTACTATTTGTAATGCAAATATCCCACCAAATGTTATAATCTCAGATAAAATTATTATTTTATTTATTAGACATATTTTATTTATTAGACATAATTAGAAATAATAATTATTATTATAAATAATAATTATTTATTATTTTATTTTTATTAATAAAAACATGTTTCATTCATCTTAGAATATTTAGACTTTAAATATTTTGTTTTATACTGATAAAATTCAGGATATTTTAAACATCTTAGTTTTAAATGAAGAAACTGTATAATTAAATTAAAAATCAATATCACTTTTTCCTATTTTCTCTATAAGGTTTTTATTCATTGAAAAGTTTAATTTGAATGCTGATAGCTCTCAAATATTTTTGCTTCTTTCAAAACACAAGTTTGACATTGGGAAAAATAGTTTAAAATGGCCACCAAAAGCCTGTAATTAGGAAGAAGTGAGTCAGCATATAAATCTCAAGCAACATTAGTCAAAGTATATGAAAAAAAGAAAAAGAAAATACAGGAATAACTTAAGACTAAACATGATAGAACCAAATGAGAAAAAAGAAGAGCACACAGCTTTTCTTTCCTTTTATTGGCCATCTTAATAAAAAAAAAAAAAAAACCAGTCCATTGCTGTTAAGCCCTAGGAGGTGTTGTGTTTGTATTTCTACCACATGCTGATGGAAGCATTACTCTAAAACCCCAAAGTCCTTGTACAGTAAACTCTCCTGTCTGTCAGTGACCTTTTGCATGACCTTGAACAAACTGCTGGCAGAGGACCTATGCCTCACTCCAATGCAAGTGACCTTGAGGAAGCCACTTTACCTCCAAGTCCCAGACTTCTTGCTCCCATCCTTGCCCACCCCTTCCCCACCCTAGTACATCCTCCAAACAGTAGCTAGAGTATTTTTAAAACAGATCACAATATTCTCCTCCTTAAAAACTTCTAGTAACTGCCCATCACAGGGAGAAAAATAGCCACAGTCTTCACTGTAGCTGAGAAGACCTGCATGGACCCTACATCTCCTTCCACTGTCCCTCCAGCTACATCTCCTTCCACATGCCCTTCGCTTTTCCAGCCATACTGGCTTCTTGCCATCCCTTGAACACATTTCTAGTTCCTTCTGCCTGAAAGGCTCTCTCTGTGGATTTTTCATTGGCTGCCTCTTTTCCATCATTTCAGTCTCAATTCAATTATCTCCCTCTACAGGCTTTTCCCAGACAGTCATTAACAGAGCAATATCCTCCCCACCCTCAGCCCTAGCCACTCCCTACCCAAGCCCCATTTTTTCTTTATGGCATTTATCGCTACTTGAGACTATTGGTTTGCATAGCAAATTTACTGTGCCTCTTTGTCAATTTAGAACTTGAGCTGCTCCAGGGAAGAGATGCCACCTATTTCAATTCAGAGTCCCCTTATTTGCAATAGGACCCAGCATACAGTTGATACTCAAAAATATTATTAGCTGCTTGCCCAACTGACCCAAATTTATCAAGAGGAGCAAATGAGATCACATAAAAGAATATTCCTAATAAAAGGTAAACCTAAGCTTACAAAGGTTACTTCTGATAGTTATATGTACTTCTCTAGAGTAAAGCAAGTCCTCATAAAATACAGGATTTTTATGAGAATCAAATGAAATCTACCTTCTCAAAGCCAAGAGAAGGTGTCAAGTAGTAACTCTCTAATTCACATGGGCAAACAAATCTGTGAAGTCACAAACTTCACCCACTTGCTCATTTATAAGTCCATTAAACAAATATTTATTCATTCCAAATATGTGTTAGGCACAGTCATAAATGTTGTGGGTAAAGAAAAAGATATTGGACACTGCATTTGACTTTAAGAATTTAATAATTAGAGAAATAAGCCAGATAACCCAAAATCGACAATGCAAGGCAGATGACAACATGACCAAGGTACCCCCCTCAAGTGTACTATAGGAATATGGAAAGTTCAGAAGAGGACAGGGTTATCCTGATTTAGAGGACTAGGAAAATTTTAATGAAGGAAGTCACATTTGAACCAGGCTTGAAAGATATTTTGAAGGTAAAATTGGGGTGGGAGCAAGGGTTCCTGCAGGTGGAGAAACTTTATAAATACTTGCGTAAGAGCAGAGAAGTCTGGAAAGCTTTTGGGAAATAGCAGGCCATTTACTGGGCTGATGACTGAGAAGGAATCCACAACTG